ATGGACAGAAAAGACAAAAGTAGAATTTTTGAGCAAGGCACAGAAGCTCCATGTTCATAGACACAAAAATGAAGCATACCAAGAAAAGAACACTGTCCCGACTGGAAAACAGTGAAGAGAGTGTGTTATGTTTAGGGGCTGCTTTGTTGCATCCAGCACGTTGTCTAGAATCTGTGCAGGGTACAATGAAATCTCAAGACTATCTATATTCGAAATGTCCTGCCCAGTGTCAGGATGCTTGCGCTCAGTTGCAGTTAATGGGTCTTGCAACAGCATAATGACCCTGAACATGGGTAAAAAACAAAACAAAATTGAAGAATGGCTAAAAGCAATCCATTGGACTATTTTCAAGTGGTCTTGTATGAGCCCTGATCTAAATCCAATTGAACATCTGTGGAAAGAGATGAAACATACCGATTGGAGAAAGCACCCTTCAATCCTGAGAGAACTGGAGTTTACTCATGAAGAGTGGGCCAAAATAGTTCTATTGAACTGCAATTTATAAGCAATGAGTGATTTTCATTGTATAATCATATTTTGTTTCGGCACATTCAAGACTGTAGTTTTTTTATTTTTATTAACTGATGGTTACCAACAATTTTGTTATCCCATGCAATGCTGTCCATCTACTGTGTGGAATCTCTTTCAAAGGTCAGGAAGCAGAGTAAAAAATTCCTTTTATCAGGGAAAATAGTCTCCCACCAGTCTTCCATCAGCCTATTTGTCCGGCTCAGCTGGATTTGCTATTATTAGCCTGAAGAGGGTGGGGTGTGGGGTGGCTGTGATGGCTTGGTTATTAACAAGGTACATCACACAGCCTGCCTCGAAATGAGGCAGCACTTTCTCCCAGGAAAGTGTTAGAGGAAGAGGTGATCTTTTGTAAAATACACATTCTTTGTGTGCATCTATAAAGGTAAACACTGGATCTATTAGGTAAACACCGAATGTCAAATGTTTAATGTGGTCATAAACCTCTTGTTCCTCTTTTGTGTTTGTACATTAAGCCTCACTTCAGACCTCTCCATCTCTCAAAGCTGTCACTCCCTTAGGCTGCCATAGCAGGAGGATGCTAGCAACAGATTCCAAGGCAACAGCAGAGAATTAACACTTTGTTTACTAATACCAGGGGCGTCACTAGGTTTCATGGGCTTGGCCCCCAGGAGATGTACAGATGGACAGATTCAAAAACAATACAATACAATACTGCATAAAAGTCACCATTAGATTCGAAGTGTTATGTGACTGTGGTTATGCGGCTGGGTCCGCAGCCAACTAATTGTTAATCAGCAGTGATGAAAACTTACTTTCTTCAAACATTTTCTAATATCCACAATTCTTTAGGTTCTCCCCGAAGTCTGCTAGAAAGATACGCATCAAATGCACAGTACACTAGACGCACATAGATGCAGTTAAAACGTGTTCGTATGGAAAACATGGAAAATATTACCAGTAATTAGGATGTTCAAGTGGAACGAATTTTAATTGGTAACAAGCCATGACAAGAGCTCTCTTTACCTAACAGTATAAAGTGAAGGGAATCTATTGATAATTATATAAATAATTTATTACAGTGCATCCTTCACATTATTTTCCTCACGCTGCTTTTAGTCTACCGACTCGGCATTCTTTGCAACCCAGACTGCAAGCATGGTCCCATTGAAAACATGTACTGGTCTTCTACCAATAAGGATGTTTTCTATATGATTACGTCTAAAGTACTGGATAATGTTACGGTAATCAAATGATAACTGCAACAAAATCATTTAGGGCAGGTATGGGCAATGGGTATAGGCAATGGGTGGGCTGCTTTATGTGGGCCTTTGGCACATAGGCAGAAATTAAAATAAAGATTTGTCATTCATCTATAGAATAGGATGCCTCATCTGAATAATGCATTCAAACAGCCTGTATTTGAAGACGCATTACATCGTTCTCGAACAGTGGTTCTTAACCTTGTTAGAGGTACTGAACCCAACCAGTTCATATACACATTCATCAAACCCTTCATTAGTGAAAAATAAAAATATGATTTTTTTTTTAAAAATACATTCAACCCATAAAAAATGCATTTATTAAAAACTGAAAAAAGTAAATACAATTTCAAGACATAAGTATAAGTTGTTTTTAATTGTGCACAAAATGAACCGTATGATCACGAAAGTCAGACTTTGACTACTGAGCGAACTAAATTTCCCGCAGCACTGATTGGACAAGCAATGTAATGTGATCATCTGCAGCCAGTGATGGCCAGGCGGGCGTGTCATAATAATTGACACGTTGAGTCGGTGTGTCTTAACCTCCAAGGCAGGGGCTCCGTCGAACCCCTGAGACCGATTCACTGAACCCTTGGGGTTCGATCGAACCCAGGTTAAGAACCACTGTTCTAGGATACGTTTTTATTGCATTGCAACATTGCATTTTGAGGCCTGTTAGGTTTTTGTGAATTTGCTGAGTACGTGACGCAAGTTCACCAACCAAACTTTATGTTTGCTAATTTTAGTGGTGACATGTGGCTGGCATGTGGCTGACATCGTTGCTCACCCGATTTTAACAAAATGCCGATCTTGTTCCGAATGGTTGAACTTTAATTAATTATGAGCCCAAATACTTTTGGTTCGGAAATATTTGATGACTCTAAATGACTGAAAAGCAATTATGCATCTGTGATGTCATGACATTGTCATCGCAGCAGTTAATTTATTTCTTTACTTTGGCAACATCATCATGTGTCTTCTCTTTTGTTGTTGCTGTGATTCTGACTGAAGAAAGAATTACTTTCTGAATAGTATATATGCATTTAACAAGATAAATGATTCTCATCCAGCAATGCTGACAAACAGATGAAAACAAAATTGTAACCATGCCTGAGGATCAATTTCACCAATGCCGCCATCTCCGACAGACCCTTCTCACCGGATGGACGATAAAACCTGATTCTTCATCAACGCAGTTAACATTAATTACCAAAAGGGAGACTGCAGGAAAAAGGATTCCAAAATTATAACCAGACAGATAGACAGTCATTACAGTCTTCCTGTGCATTCAGAAATAGAAGTATCTACAGGGCCTTGGTAACAGAGTTGCCAACAATAGCACATTCTTATTAAAAGGGCTCGACTCAGCAAAGGAAACATGGGTAACATAAGGAAGCTTTTTGTTTTTGTTTTAAAGCTACATGGAGTGAGAAGTATGTGCATACCAAGGTGACAAACACCATGAAAAAGGTTTAAATTAAATGCAGTGGTCACCTAATGACATTTATGGCCTTATTTTTCATGACCAGTGCAAGTCTGCCATTGAGCACGGTCTAAATCTGTTTTGGTATTTTTGCAGACGCCCGCAGCTTGACGCAGTTTAAAACGGGACTTTTAAAACATTGTGGGCGTGAACACTGTTGACTTAATTCAACGTCAATCGAAGCGGGTCCTTATTCTCTTTAAAATCAACATACAGGTTTCTTTACAACTATTCAAATTATTCTCTAACAATTGGTCACTTGAAAATGATGATGAGTGCCATTTGCATGGACTATTTCTAAAAATCAGATCAAAGCATCCATCCGTCCATTTTCTAATCCACTTATCCTCACAAGGGTCGTGCTGGAGTCGACAGCAGCTGTCTTCAGGCACTACCTGAACTGGTTGCCAGCCAATTGCAGGGCACAGATAGACAAATAACTATTCTTGCTCACACTCAACACCTAGGGACAATTTAGAGTGTTCCATGAACCCGCCATGCATGTTTTTGGAATGTGGGAAGAAACCGGAGTACCCAAAGAAAAGCCAAGCAGGCACATAGGGAGGCCGTACCTGGAATCGAACCCTGCACCTCTGCACTGTGAGCCCGACGTGCTCATCAGTCGACCACCGTGCCACCCAGATCAAAACATAATTTGCGTAATAATTTGGAACAGTATAGAGACCACATTATGTGCATCGTCATAAGAAGAGAAACCTGCAATAAATATAACAACACGCTTGAGGAATGCTTTAACTGCACTGTACATTGATTGCAGTGGGATTACAGATGACCACCGCTCTCCTTCAGCATCTGCAAATCTCAAATGAATCCCACTTGGAATATCCTATATGAGATCACATTTTATACAAGGGAGCAGCAATTATTTATGCGTTTTAATGCTCTCAAGTGTTTGCTGCATTTTACGAGGAAAGGGGTGGCTGAGGTTTGGAAAGTTGTTTTTTTATTTTACAGCAAATCAGAGAGACTTGTTTCACAGCAGTGCTTTTACTGTGGCATTTCAGAGGCCTTTACCACATGCACCGTCTGCTGGGTGCATTGCAGAGGTATAAATCTTAAGAAGAGCTGCACCCTGGATCACGCTTGCACTACAAGCATCAAAGCTGTCTCACCCAATCGATGGGCAACAAAAAAGGAAGGACTAATCGCACACATATGTGATGCTCAAGGTTGGGGCGTTGGGTGTCCTCTTGTTGAGTAGTGGTAGAGGGGCTTGTGTCACAAACGACTTCACACAATACTGCGGCAGGTCATCTATCATCTTCTTGATATGCATCTCGCACTTTGCCCCACGTCAGGAAAATAATATATTCAGAAGGAGACGCTTCTCTGGTGTCAGTTGGTTTAAACTAGGGACACCCCATTTTGATAATACATTGAAGCAAAAAAAAAAAAGAAGAAAAAAATTCACAGTTGGCATATATGACTACAAAAGACTGAATGAGTTGATCAAGAACACCTACTGTTGCGGTATGCATATCAACCAATCCTTGGAATGCAAATTGGGGCAACTATGTCAGTAAATAACAAAAAGGCAACACAATGACTAAACTACTATTTCTGTCACGAACCAATATTGACAAACACCCTGAATTTTGTGCAGTATATGAATATATTTAAACATATATACTCTTGTGTTTGAGCCCTCCAAATGCCGAATCAGTAAAACACACACACACACACACACACACACACACACACACACACACACACACACACAAATAAGTAACCCTGCAGCCTTAGTCATGTCAAATCTTTATTGACATTGTGTCTAACAGCAATACATAGCAAGTTGAAATACTAACAAGAATAACAACATTCAATCCCTAAACTTGAATTTTCACGGTAGCTCTAAATGAATGCAAATAATGATCAAATACTCCACTTGACAGAATCATCTGCACCATGCACATGTCAAGATACGAAGCTGCTGGTGTTTTAAGGCATTTTAAATCCTACATCATTGAGTCTATGGCAGAATATTGATCCTTGCGTTGGACATTTTGAGACACTGTTTGTAATGTCATGCCATGACGTGGTGCTGCATTTGTGGGACTTTTGGCAGTGTTGCAGGGATGGGATATTTAGACACATTTTATTTGGTTTGCAGTGTGATTATGTTATAAAAGCTTTTGTTACTCTGGAATGCAGCATACATACATTTACATGTGCTCATGACATTTTTCTATTCCAAAGTCCTTTTAGCATAGGCCACTGCATAGCGATACAAATGCACACTTTCTACAGCACTAACATATTGAGCGTTCCCAAGCCACGAATATAAGAAGCCAATCCAGAACATTCTGTCATACAATCGCATTTTTTTTTTCGTGTGTGAGTGCAGCTTGTCAGGGTGGGGTCTGCCATGGAGCATAGCACAATTATAACGTTGCTGTGTTTTAACTGGCAGGAAGCAAGCAAAAAAAGTGAGCTTCAAGTGGCTCACTCAAACAAGTTTCTACTGGTGAGATTACACTACAACAGACATTTTATCCAGTCATGGCCAAAGTGTGAAAGCGAGGTCACATTTTAAACAATCGGGTGCTTTTCGGCTGTTTATCGGCTGTATTTTAACTGCCGTTGCAAGGTTTGGTCTTCAGCCTTGAGTGATATGGATTGCGGGTTCAAATTAGGCTTTACTCATCAATGTAAGGAAATGAGAAATGGAGCAACATATGGGTACTGTTATCGCTCAGGTGCATCAGACATAATCAGCTTTTTGTGCTTAAGTATGATTTACCCAACAGGTTACTGTGCATAATTCTTGGTTAAGTGAGCAAATCAACTTGTTTTCGTTTTTATTTCAGTTGTTAATCACATTATGATAGTCTTTATGGTTATATCCTACAAAGCGAACAAACACTACCTGCAGTGCAGTCATCCTTGAATGCTTGTGCATGATGATGTTGTGCGCGGTCAATGGCAGAAAAGGGAGGCCTGGGCCAACCCTTCAATCTGGTCATTGCGTTAAATGCGCAATGGAGCAAGAGGATGACTATCTCTAGTACACCATGCAAATTAAGCTCACTTTGCAGAGATTTCTTGTTTGCTCATTAAATATTGCAACTTTATTATTATCGTTCAAAAAGTAAGAAAGGGCAGTTTTCCTTTGAGGATGTCTTCCTTCATTTGTGCTGCTCCCATGCAGACACAATTGACGCCACCAATAGTTATTTGGAAATTTGTGCAAGGTGAATTTTTTTTTATTGATTTTGAGTTAATTGAGCAAGATTACAAGCTAGACTTTTAGGCCAACCATAACTCTGGATGGTTTCTTGTAGATGTGTGTGCTTTTTTACTAAACTCTTTAATCTATCGTTTATCTAAGTTGAATTGAGTAAACAGGTGATGTTTTCAACGCATTTGTCCTTTAAGTATGCACAGTGGTTGCACACGTTTGTCTCGTAATTGTGGTTGTGGTGTTTGACCAGTTGTGAGCTACTCTGTGCATCTTTATGATGCGAGTGTGAACAAGCAGTTGAGTACTGTACTTGAAAAGACCACATTTCTAGTGTGTGCTGCCTAAGAGCTTGTTCTTCTCAGTGAGTGAATGACGAACAAAAGAACAAAAGAGAATCGAGTGGTCTTGAACATAATGACGGATATATTGGAGTTAATGATTTGAAGTTTTCCTCCTGGGAGTGTGTGTTATTTAAGGGGAAGTGAGAGCAACATATAGTAAACCCCTACATCTCAAAAGTTACTTCTATCTGCAAATCCAACACATGAATACAAGATGTTTATGAGAAGGCAAACTAGCACCTTAGCTCCCTGTGGTGTTGTAAGTGTAAAGACAACGGGTTTATCATGGTATGGAGACTGATCAAAGGAGAGGGGAAGGGAAGTTGTGAGATAAATAAGGTTTAGTGGTCTAGCAGGCTTACACTAGGCTCCTAGTTTTTCTGATTGGTGGCGCTATCACTGGCATCTTGTTGCTTCTCCACCTTTTTAGTGGTGACCACTGTCTCCTCATAAACCTCATGTGTGGCCTTGCTTCCAGCCTTGCTCTGCGGCTGGCTGTCATCCTTGCCTTCCCTCTTGGAGCTCTTGCCAGAGGTGGTGTAGATGCGGGACTGGTAGTTGTAACTCTGTCCACCGCCTGAAGTTATGGATGGGCTAGGATAGGCGATCCCTGTCCCAATGCGGGTCTCCTCACCTTCCAGCAGCTTTCTGCATATGAGAAGAATGAGAAGGGTTTAAAAAGAAAATTGAAAATGGCAGCAAAAAGTGGTAGGGCATTGCGGTTTTTTTTCTATTGTATCTCAATGAAACACGTGTTAAGTGACCTACCTATATGCCGCTATCTCAATATCAAGAGCCATCTTGACATTCAGCAGATCTTGGTACTCCCTCAAGTGACGAGCCATCTCACTTTTAGTGCCCCTCAGCTCATTCTCCAACTCCGCTATGCCATCCTATGAAAAAGATGGATTAAAAGGCTGCTTGTTAAATATTAAATCCTATCAGAAGCAACAGACATCTGCAGTTTTGAGGACATCCAATGCTGTAATCAGAATCATCACTTTGCCAGCATACGATGAATGTTACCATGCGCAACATTCGTAAACATTTCATTGAATTTAGTGTTTTAAGGTGTATCATCTGATCATATATCAGCTCGGTTTATTTCCAGTAAAATCTGAAAACATGAGCAAAATAGAACATGAGGATCTGCATATTTTGCAGGCCGCTGACAGAACACATAAGGACGTGGGCGTTGTCACTCGCAGATGCTGAGTTGAGACGTCCCAGGAGAAATTCAGAACCACGGACAGTGCTCCAAAACGCCGCTATTTTACGCATGAACCCAAACAATTGTAAATGTCAGTTAAATGACAAGATACATTGTAGGCAAGATTTTGTTACCTGGTAGTTTCCAATCTCCACGCTGTGTCTGTCCTCCATCTCCCTAAGCTGCTTTTCCAGGGACTCATTAGTGCCTCTGAGGCTCTCAATCTCGATGGTTTTGGACTGCAGCTGCCTCCTAAACTCACTCATTTCCTCCCTGCTGGCGCGGATGGCATCGTTGCTGCGGGTGGCTTGCTCAGACAGGTCGGCGAACTTGGTCTTGTACCACTCCTCGGCGGACTGCAGGTTCTTGGAGGCCATCGACTCATACTGACTTCGGATCTCCTTGAGGGCGGAGGTCAGGTCCGGCTTGGCGACCTCCATCTCAACGGACACCTGAGCAGCCTGGATCATGTCCGTGAGTTCGGCCACCTCCTCATCGTGCACCTTCCTCAGGAAGTTGATTTCATCCAGAAGAGATTCCACCTTCTTCTCCAGGTCCAGGCGCACCATGGTGGCGTCCTCCACATCTTTCTTGAAAGCCTTGAGTGTGGCCTCTGCGTCCTCTCGAGCACGGAATTCTTCTTCATATTTCCCCCTGAGCTTCTGGAGGTCATCGTCAATGCTGTCTCTCTCGATGAGGAGCTGGGACTTCTCCCCATTGAGCTCATCCAACTGGGAGCGCAATTCGCGGATCTCCTGCTGGTAGAGCTCGGCGAGGCGGGATGGTTCCGCCTGCCTCTGACGCAGGGCCACCAGCTCCGTCTCCAGCACTTTATTATGCTGCTCCAAATTGCGCACTTTCTCAATGAACATGGCAAAGCGGTCATTGAGACCCTGCATTTGCTCCTTTTCATTGGTGCGGACAATTTTGAACTCATTATTGAGGACGCTGCTCTGTGCCAGGTCGAAGGTCTCCAGCGGCATGGACGAGAAGGCGCGTCCGGACTTTCGGGTGTACCCGCCCGCGGATGAAACGTTGCTCCGGGACGCGGACGAGGCTCGGTAACCTCCCCGCGAGGACACACTCATGGCTGTCCGAGATGGAGAGGACGCATAGCGGGGAGATTCCCCGAAGATCCTTCGGTAGGAAGAGGAGGAGTAGACTTCAGATCCGTAGCTCATCGTGGCTTGAATGGAGTCGGAATAAGACGACATGGGCGCGTCTCCCTTTTATAGGCGGGGGCAGCACGATCGTTATTGCATATGTATTGTTAGTACCGCGGAGTCTCTCCAAATGGGCCAGACAGGAATACAAGGCATACCAAGTGAAATACAAAATTTAAAAACACACATTCCAAAAAAAGAGGTCAGTGTTAGTTTTTATAGCCACACCTTGGTAAATCACACTCCTCAACGACCACTTATTTTATGCCTTTTGTGACAATTGTTAATTTTGTGTCGATTGTTCATTCATATATATATATATATATATATATATATATAAAACGTAATAATTTGTCTGAAAGGTTAATGCGCCATCTAAAGTCTAATTTGATAAAGATCATAATGCAATACGGTGCAGCTATATTAGTTTTGTCATTCCAATGAATAAATTCTGCTTTTTGCATGCAATTTCATGTTTTTCGACTTTCTAAAAACGTTTTCGTCATTCCCTACTGCACTTCAGCTTTCAAAAATATGACATTGATGCCCTCTGTTGGAAGGAACAAGTACTCGCTAATTGCTGTCGCGCGTATGAGGGGCGATTAAATTATACATTCACTTGCCTGTACTCATTTATTCTCAGAGATAGGGAATCCAGGTCCAGAAAGTAAAAACCTTACTACAGTGTAGCTGAACAAGCTCGTTTAGCTATAGAAGCGCCTGTAACTAAAGCCGAGCTGCAGGCGTTTTATGTTCGGGACCTGAATTTCCCATCTCTGTTTTTTCTTTAGATACCCTAAAACAGGGGTGAAGTATGTCCTACTTCACTCTTAACCTACCATGAGTCAAGCAATATGTGTTGTCTTTTAATTTAGCTCACCCTCCCCCGCCCCCCACATTTAAATTGGTTCATGAATTCATAGCTGTTTCATTTAGCTTATTAAATTATTGGTGAATTTTGGTAAATAGTAAAATTCACACAGTATTAGTGAACAAAGCATTTTACACATACAATGGACACATTATTATTATTATTATTATTATTATCTAATCAAAACTGCCTAAAATGGCAAGTTTAAATGTGTTTTATAATTGCTTTTGTTGTCACTCAATGTTCACAGATAATACTTGTATTTTACCACACCACAAAATATTAAATACATGAAGGCTAAACTCAGTTGAATAAGCAATGTGAATATTTTACTGGCTTTAATATTTGTATTTTTATTATCATTTTAGGAAATGAAGGATGCAACAATAAAAGTCTGAACAGTCTGAATACCTGCAACTGAATTTGTCTTTTTTATTGCTTTGCATGGTTCCATTAGAAATGCCTAGGAGGACCTCCTAAACTGTTGCTGAAAGTTGGGTTTGCGTGCGCAACCCCTGTTTTCTCGTTTTGCAGCAATATTCACATTCATTTAATGCCATTTTAAATGAGTTCACAAGTTTGACATTCTACCAAAAGAATATTGCCAACCATAGCAGCCGCTAGCCAGAAGCTGAGTTGCACTGTGCTTATCCTGTGTGAGAGCATAATCGCTGACTCCTATTTCTTAACTGCACCCACATTTTCTTGTTCGCATTTTTACAAACACTCGCGGTTCTGAGGTTGGGTTCGAATCAGAGCTCCAGCCTTCCTGTTCCGGTTCACGGTCTTCATGTTGATACAAGAGTGTGAATTTGTTTTTTGCAAGCTTTTGTGAGCACATAAGAAAGAACAGCTCTGGCCCCCGGGCGTTGAGTTTGACACTTGTAATTTACTCAACAATGGACCGAACGTATATTTCTGTGGGAGGTCGTCGCAGAACTTCGAGAAAACTTGGGTGGGTTCACGTGGGAACGCAGTGGCGAGAAAACAAACTCCACCCAAGGAATGCTCGAAATACGAGTCTCAGAACTGTGAGCCTGATGTGCGAAACACTAGAACACCATGCTGCTATTACATTGTTGTTGCTGTTGTGACTTCTTATATTATAATTGTCGCACAGACGCAATTCCACGGTCACTTGCCTTTGCCAAGATGAGAAGTGACCCCGCCTCCTATTGAAAGACAGAAAGGAGACTCCGCCCTCTCTGTTTGCTTTCCTCTTCCAGCTGGCAGCAGAGAGAAAGAGACAGAAACGCCACCGAGCCTCCAACTGAGGAGTGAGAATCTACAGCTTGGCCTCACGGCGCACTCATTCGGGCTCTAACTGCATCGTTCTCCGCAGATATCCACCACCTTTCTTTCTCATATTTTCACGTTGTTGAAGGTGCATGCTTAGACGTAGTGGCGGTGCACTTGTACGACACAGGATATAACAGTGGTGAGTACAGTTATGTTACTAACAGCTAAGTTAAACCCAGTGAAACCTGCCACGACCCTTTTTGGCTGTTGTTTTTGTGTCCCATTCAGCTAATGTGTTTTTAGGCTTGCTCAAGACATCAGCGTGCTGTCCGCTTAAATCAGTGTCGAACAAGGAGAGCTTAGCAGACTGTTAGCTAGTTTGGCAAGTAAATGAGATGTTTCGTTGTCTTGCGAAATGTTTTCCTGTTAGCTTAGTTAATTCAACACTGACCGATATAGCAGCTCATCAGTGATCTTTTATGTCACACCGGCATCCAGATTTCTGAGGTGCAGTACGCCGTAGTAGCGCTTATTAACGGCGCTACGTGATATATTGTGTGAGTGAAACAAAGCCCATTTGCGTTAGTGCACGCTTGGCGTTTGCAATGCTCTCTCTCTCTTATCTTCCTAAACCTGAGCTCCCATCTGACACCGCCGAGCCTTAGTCAGAGTGTAAACACAGGTGTCCTGAAGGCATTGGTTCAAAATGACTGCAACCCGGTAGTTGTTTGGGAGTTGTTCAGAAACACGCTGATGCACATCAAACGCCTGCATGCAAATATGAAAAAGATACAAGTGTTGATACGTGCTTTTCTGTGACACATATATTATCATGTGTCATCTGCGTGGTGCTGACACAAGAGCAAGAAAGCTGACTTCAGCGATTGTGCTAGGCAGAGCCTACCCTCTCCTGCAGATTCTAGTAAAAACAACTTCCTAATTACTGTCAACAAACCAAGGACCAAAGGTCCAGAAATGCTCATGCAATCAGAGATGACAGCGCACTTTAATGTATTTCCTAGCTACTCTAGCAGGTTTTCCTCTCTTTGGTACATGTTTGAGTTGGCGCAAGTATTCATTTCTGTCTGAAAATACATCATATTTTGTTGTCTTAGGATGTCAAAAGTCAGACATTAAAGTACAATACAGTGTGGACAAGTTAAGAGTAGGGAAAGTATGGAAAATGTGGAACATATTTTGAATAACAAGGGCAAGTGGGGGAAGATGCCCCCCTTAAAAATGGCGATTTTCTTTGAAAATATAAATTATTTGAATATCAAAAAAATTATGTGCCCAAGAATTGTGCTGAAGCACACATACTTAATAAAACAAAATGTAAAATCTTGTAAATAGGCATCTTACCCCACGACCTGGGGAAGACATCCCCCACTAGGGGAAGATGCCCACTATACCCAACAAGTCATTTTGATCATTTTGAAACTTTGTATTTACGCATAATATGAAACCTCATTTTCACATGTTGCCATTGCTTTTACTTCATCTGAAACACAAATGTTATATAACACAATAATAAATGATTGTTTTAACAGCTGTTTCATCCATGCCTAATTAAAATGAATAGGCCAGTGACAAATCCCATCTACAAAGTTTTGTTTAAACAATGTGTAAATATTATCTTGCCTTAAATCAGTTGGTACAATAAAACACACACTTGAGACACGTGCGCACACTCACACGGGTACTGCACATATTCTCAATAGTTAATATAAACGTCTTAACAGCTTAATGCGAATATTGTAACATGAAATCAGCTCGGTAGCTTTTGAACTGGTAATAATGCATTTCTTCTCTCTGAGCGGTGAATGCTTGCGAGTGTCTGCGAACATAGCGAATGTTGCTCTGGAGTGTGGAGTTTGCACTTTCTCTCCGTGCCTGTGTAGGTTTTCTCTGGGTACTCTGGTTTCCTCCAACATTCCAAAAAGGTGCATGGTAGGTTGATTGAATGCTCTAGATTGTCCATAGGTGTGACTGTGACTGTGAATGCTCGTTCGTCTTTGTGTGCCCTGCGATTGGCTGGTGACCAATTTCAGGGTGTACCCTGCCTACCACCCAATGACAGCGGGGATTGGCTCCAGTGCGCCCGCAATCTTCGTGAGGATAAAACGGTTTGGAAAATGGATGGATGGATGGACATAATTCTGACTACTCGAATCATCATGCCAACCCTACTGAGTGACTCCCCCGACATGCCCTGTTTTAGTACACTCGAGGCCATTCCTTGTTTGTTTTTGGCGCTAACGCCTTCTTAAGTATCTTCTGTGTGCTGTGATTACATCAGCTATTATATTCATGTTAACGGTGTTAACAACACATTCAAGAATAGGCTGTAATTCCAGTCAATCAGTGCACTTCATTCAAGATAACAGCACCCATCCTCACACAAAAGAATGTACAGCTTTGAATTAAATCTCAATACTTTTTTGGGCAAGTAAGTAGCCCCTAACCAGTGTAAAGCATTTTAGATGAAAAAAAGAAGACTTAAAACTACTGGTAAGTGATGTGCCATCGCTGTCTGGTTTATTAAACATTGGACCTCTATTTGTCATGGTATCTCTAGAACTATTTGGAAATAAAAGATCACATAACAAAAAAAGAAAACAAATTAAATGAATTCTAAATAAAGAGTTATGCACGTATAAATAATTATTAACATACAGTAAGGCGTCCTCATTTGGGATCATAGTACGGGTCTCTTCTTATAAATATATCCATCTCTCCATCCATTTTCCGATCCGCTCTATCCTCACAAGGGTCGCGGGGGGTGCTGGAGCCTATCCCAGCCATCTTCGGGCAGTAGGCGGGGGACACCCTGAACCGATTGCCAGCAAATCACAGGGCACACATAGACGAACACCCATCGGCGCTCACACTGACACCCAGGGACAATTTAGAGTGCTCCATTAACCAGCCATGCATGTTTTTGGAATGTGGGAGGAAACCGGAGTACCAGGAGAAAACCCACACGGGCATGAAGAGAAAATGCAAACCCCACGACCTTTTCACTGTGAGGCCGACGTGCGAACAGTTCAATCACCGTGCCGCCCCTCAAAAATCATGAATTCACTTAATTTTAAATTGGAAAAAAAGAAAGAAAATTAGTTTTGTTTCATCCACGCCAACATGGCAACCCAGTCATCAGCCTCACTTGTCGGTGTGAAGTGGTGACCTAAACACCAACAACGATAAAAGCAACTCTGTGCTTTGTGTTTAACCTTAGCGGTTCCACTCTATTTCGTCAGGTAGAACCCCCATCAATATAGAACGATGAGGTACCTCATGTTGATAAAGTACAAACATGGACTTGTTTAATTTCTCCTAACTGTCTCCTTAGATACTGAAAGACTCAAGATGACCACTTCATGGAGTGACAGACTTCAGAATTATGCAGACCTGCCAGCCAACATGGACAGAATGACAATGAAAAAATACAGACGAGAGCCATACCATAGGTAAGAACCTTCTGACTCCATTGCCTGCGGATCTCTCCAACATGCACTTTCCTCAGGATGTTGACACAATATTTCTGGCTTGAAGGTGTTCTCTTAAGTTATCATTGTTTTAACGCGCGGGTTTCAAAGTCAAGTCCTGGGGGGCAGATCCAACCACTTTACTTGGCTCACTAAATCAATTAATGCTGGCTTCATGTTTCTTGTTAAATAGGTTTTTCTTCACTTTTCACTGATATTACAACCATTTCCTTGCTACCAAATCCCCTCCTAACATGATGTGAACAGTAGTTGTATAATTCATTGTGAACAGTAGTTGTATACTTCATATTTGTGTGCCACAATTTTAAATGACTTCCGATCTCCAATTCAGTTAATTGTTAACAATTAACGGCCAGGACAATTATGTATCTGAATATAGGCTGAAGTGACGTTTTTCATAGTCCTAAGGACCTTCCAAGGAATTTAATAACTATGACGTGGCCCACGACGAAAATGAGTTTGACACACCCAGTTAACACTTCCCAATTTGTAGCCAATAAAACAGAAAGAGGATTTCCCTTTTTGAACCTCCTATTTGAGTCATATGGACCAGAAGCTATGTCACAAAATTACTTAGAATGTCAAACTCAGTATGAAAATGTTAGATGTCAGATGACACATTTGTAATTTAAAAAAAATCTTTTACTTCATTTTTATTGTAAGTCACATCACATTATTTACTGCACAGCATTAGTCGATTCAGCATTGCAGCACATTAATGTAATACTTCAAATTCAATGTTTTTAAGTGGTGCACTAGAGTTTGGACACAATGTTAAGCAGGTTTTTCTAGTGTTGGTGTCATAAACTTTGTACCTTGGGTGTGGTTTTATTGTTTTTAGCGTTATGCAAAACTCTTAGCTTCATATCATACAATTGAGGTTGTGACTCTGCGTCCGTCACGCATGTTTAGTTGATGCTTATGCAAAGCTGCCAACTGATTTGGATTGCCCGTATTTTGTAATGGATATCACCAAATCGTTCAGATGTTCAAATGTTGCTGCTAAATTTCGATTTCCTCCTGAGCAGCGCGGAAGAAGCACGAATAAAGAATTAGGAACAATAGGAAATGTGTGTGCACAGCGTGCAGCCCCTCACCGGCCCCGCCGGCCGTGGCGCAGAAGCCTGGGGGGGCTCCGGCATGCGCCCGAAGTCGGTCCGTCAGTTTTGCCAGATGTTTTTCTTTCAGCCGCTATCCCACTGAGCAGCCAACATCTCAGAACCCTTTAATATGCAATGTCCTTGGATTCTCTGTTCCTTTTCTCTTCCATCTCAAAGACATTAAATGCACACTTATGACAAAGCAGGTAAAGAGCAACTTTCAACTTAATGAAACTATCCATCCCTTATCTGAACTGCTTTATCCTCATGAGGGTCGCGGGCATGCCAGAGCCTATTCTAGTTGTCTTCGGGCTGTAGGTGGGGTACACCCAGAATTCGTCAACTAAATTCATTTTTTTCGCATTTATGTAGGCACAAAAAAAAACTTGAATGCAAGGGCATTTATTTAGTGGGAAATAATTCCACATTAACAAATAATAATTTTACATCAAATCATCAATCATGTGCCACAAACATTAGCGTTCCTGAATTTCTATGGGTTGGCAGCTTCTCTTTAATAAAGGCAAGGTTAGAGTTAAAGTAATTCTAAACACTATTCGTACTGATCATTGCGAGCATGTTAAAGATTTCTTGGCGACAACAAAAACTGGTTACGAATGTCTGGCCAACGTCTTTGCGAATGTGTGCCACCTTGAACGCACCCTGAAGAATAATCAACATTCGCGCCCTTCGCAGACACTCACAAACCTTCGCCGCTCAGTGGGATACGGACTTTTGTTGTTGGTTTACACATTTGTTTCACTATGGCTGACTCTTGTCACACATACACAACTTCATTGACTCGAAAGTTGAAATATCATAGAGCCACGCTGGTCTCGTAGAAAAATCCAGAGCCTTCCTAAACCTTTCCCATAGGGAAGGGGTGTCAAACGCGTTTTTGTCGCGGGCCACATTTTAGTTACCTTTTACCTTGAAGGGCTGTAATGACTGAAACCATATAAAGAAGTCAAGAATAACTATTGTTTCAACTATTGTTTAACTATTGTAAATGCTTCCAATTGCTCTCTTATTTATTACATATGAGAATAAAAAATGTTGTGAGACATTTTAGAAAGCATCATGGAAGTTGACATGATCTGCTTTCGCGGGCCACATAAAATGATGTGGCGGGCCAGATCTGGCCCTCGGGCCTTGAGTTTGACACCTGTGCCATAGGGAGTGTTGGCCAAGTTACTTCCTAAATGCAATATATTTCATATTACTCAATACTTGCATTTGACAATAACAGTTTTTTTTGCAATCTTACCATCTGTGTAAAGCAATGTTACATAAGTTTATGTCACTTTTACCTTTTTCTTTTTTAAAATAATGATTTTGCAACCATAGCTGGTAAAGTTAACATGTAATGAGCATCTTTAGCGATGTAGTAAGGGATATAATGTTAAATGGTTGGAGTTGGTGGCAGATCACTGCAATGATGAATATTTGCTTCAATCACTAGATTTTATTTTGTGTAATCTAAATATTGGAACTGATATTTGTTTCAATAATGAAGTAATCACAAATGTACACCACAAATAAAATTATCGACATACTCAAATGAATTTACATACATGGGAAAAGTGAGTTTATATTGCCAATGTATGTTCTGATTATCAATAACACAATGTTGTTGTTGGGTTTTTTTTGTACTTGATCATTGATCTAACAAATAAAAGTGATAGGTGAATTCTAAGTGATAATTGGGTGAACAAAACATAGATATAGATAGATGTAATAAAAGCAAAAATATCTATTGATAACGAGCCATCTGACGTAAGAACACCTTATTTTCTCCTTTTTTTAAAACAACTAAACACAATTCAAAGTTCACTTGGTTGTAATTCTCTTTACGACATAGAGACTTAAGGTTCGAGGTGAATTGAGCGACCAAATGGATATAACAAATGAGTACATCGGTCTCTTAGCTGATGGGGCATGATGTTTTCTGTATGATTGGAATTGATGTCTTCCGCTCAGAGGTGGTCTGATCTGCATTCTCTCTCTCTCTCTCTCTCTCTCTCTCTCTCTCTCTCTCTCTCTCTCTCTCTCTCTAAAAAAAATATGGCTTCTTTGAGTGTACAAGGTTGCCCACCCCTGGTATAGACAATACTTACTTTGAGGTCAACAATGAGTTAATAATTCCTGTTATTATTATTATCATTATTATTATTATTATTATTATTAAACACAACAATTGTTGTTTAACTGCAATAGTCTGCTGTGAACCGAGGGCAAGTGTATCCTCCTCGACCCCTTCCACAATTTCAATAAAGTGACTGTTGCTTGGTTCCGCCTGACTTGTGACTGTTCTGGATGTCTTTGAAGGCCCATAAATGTCATGCCACAGAACAACAACTCTGACTAACCACACACAACAACAGGGAATGACGTAGAAAAGCCACAATCATTTTTGCAACAAGTCAGAAAAGGTCTGAATGGTAAGAAAGCAAAGAGAGGGGGGTTGGGGGAGAGAGGGTGGAGTGGGGGGGTTCATTGTGTTTCCTGTGGTGGCCTGCTGGAGCAGGTGGGAGAGTCAAAGTCAGGTTTAATTTGACATAGAATGCATCGCTACTCCTCTCCTGGACAAACATTGAAATGGGAGCTTGTTCACTACGGAACTGCTTCAAGGTATTTACTTTCTGCTTTGGGTGAGTAGGACGGGACGACAAATGCCATCCGTGTGTAACACGACATTCTATTTTCGTTCTCCATTTTGCTAATTTACATCTTATTTTGACGAGAAGGAAATAGGCAAGTGTGTTAAAACATGAACAATATATTCTGCGCTCTGGTGTTCATCTTAAATATTGACCAAAAAAAAAAAAAAACCCCCTCTGCAAAGTAACATAACGCTCACATCAATATTATTCCCAAATTTGAGGGAATTCGTCGAGAAAATGTGCTGAAACATAACAGATGTATATTATAAAAGGTATGTGCATTGATTTCGGGCTAAAATGTCCCAGCAATGTGAGTTAAGTCAGCAGGTTTAGCCCGGTGATGTAAACAATGTCTATAGTTGGGGACACTGTGCACCTACTGACTGATTTATGAGGCAGGACAGTAGAGCTCTTTCCTGGCTGAATGTCACAAAGTCTTAGTGTTAACCATCACTCAAAATAGTAGCATACTGTCATAAATCACCAGACAGAAAGCAAGTTTCTCTTTACTGATGGAAATTGAAACTGCTGTAGATTTCCGATGGTTTTCTCTAAAAAATGTACGGTTCAAATTGAATATTAAAGCTACAAAAAGACCAAATTACCTCGAACAACTGTCATTATTCTCCATGGGATTACGAAACGGTACTCCATATATTTTAGAAAACGGACACTGATTATAATTGGTTTCTTTTCCAATGACTATGATGATTTCATTTTGTGTCTTAAGCCTCACCAATACTGGATTTCAGTAAGTTGTCCAACAATTTTAAACACGTGGTACACTCCACGCAATGTCAAAAAGCTTTATCTGGGGTATAAAGGCACTTTAGTGATTACTGACAAACATTTGGACCTCCATCCATCCATCCATTTTCCGATCCGCCTTATCCTCACAAGGGTCGCGGGGGGTGCTGGATCCTATCCCAGCTGTCTTCGGGCAGTAGGCGGGGGACACACTGAACCGGTTGCCAGCCAATCGCAGGCCACACATAGACGAACAACCATCCGCGCTCACACTCACACAATTTAGAGTGTTCAATCAGCCTGCCATGCATGTTTTTGGAATGCGGGAGGAAACCGGATAACCCGGAGAAAACCCACGCAGGCACGGGGAGAACATGCAAACTCCACACAGGAAGGCCGGAGCTGGGATCGAACCCACGACCTCTGCACTGTGAGGTTGACGCGCTAACCACTGGCTGCACCGAGCCGCCCATATTTGGACCTATACGAACATATTTGATCTAGATCACAATTATTTTTCATTTTCACTGTGATTGTACTTTTTAAAATACGTGTTTGACCATAGTTTGCGTCATATGCTGCCCCCAGCAGAATTTCTATGCTAGATGAAATGTACTTTTTTTTTTAAACAGTGTTCATTTTCTTGAATAGCTATGCTCTTAAAAAAACTCACTTCCCTCTGATTGACATTCCCCCTTGCAACTGTTGTTTTTTGCAGATGTAGGTCATTTCAGCTTTATCTTCAGTTCTGAAACTCATAACTTTAATGTGTTGTGGTTTCGAGGGGTGCAATGAACAGTGATTTCAGCTGGAAAATCGGGGTTGATTTAAATGATTTTTAAAGATGTAAAAGACTTAATTGAACCGTTCTTTAAAATGAACACAGCACTGACAAGTTTATCCATATTGGAAAATAAGTCATTGTATCATACCTTCTCAGAGTGAGTCATACTATATTGAATTGAATCATAATCACATTGAATTGAACCAAATTCAATTCACTGTATGGTGCAAGCCGGTGCTCTTTATGGAGGAGTGACATTATGGTTATACTTTCACATTGTCAGCATCATGCGGCTGCACAATACATCCACTTTGGCCTGGCTACCAGTCTGACTTGTGGAAGGTTTCTTCTCACGTAAACGTTTTTTCACCCATGAATGCTATTTGTCATTGTGCCTGCGTATTGCTGTTTTTCATTACCAGTAACACAAATACTTTGGTGTGTCTTCTCTAGAGTGTTTGTCAACAGAAGCTTGGCAATGGAGAAGATTAAGTGCTTTGGCTTTGATATGGATTACACTTTAGCAGGTACGTAACACCTCACCCAACACCTATGGTAATTAAACAAATAGAGTAAATGGTAATATACTCTTCGGACAGAAAGGTAACAGTTATTGAATGAATATGATTTCTGAAGTAAAAAAAAAAAAAAAATCAAAGCTTTTAAAGTTCTTCTATTTCCATGGTCTCCCTAACCTGTTATGAACGTTCCACATAACTCCCTGGCACAAAGGCTCAGTAGCATACTCCAACTGACCAGTAACTGCTCCAAAATTACCCTGCCGTGTTGTTCTGTGACTCAGACCCACTTTTTCACCCGTGCTTCCCAAAATAACCAAACGACTTTGTTAAGTGGGTCACGTGTGTTTGTGAAGTTCTCAAATGATGACTCCTCTGAGAACAGGAATCACTCCTAGTCCCGCTGTGAATTTAAAGCTCCATCTGAGTGCAGAGTGCAAGTTGCTCAGCTGTTGACATTACTCTTTTTATGGGAGCTCAGAACTAAATGGCAATGTTTGCGAGATGCATGAGCCTCACGTATCCATGGAGGGGCTGTCAGCTTTTGACCCCCGAGAGGGTTCAATCACTATACTGAATTTCATTTATGCATTTAAAGGTGGGTTGTATTTGTATATAAGAGGTCAATGTTGTTACCTAGAGGTGGGCGTGTCAGTACATTTTGCCGGTCCATCATCACAGGTGGGATCTGTAAAAGAGCTGTTTCGTTTCATGTTTATTGAAGAATTACACAGTTATGCAATTGAATAATTTTGATGTAGTTTAAGAAGGATGGGCAGACAGGAAACACAAAATTATGGATTGACTTTACCTGACCAAGCCACAGTAGGAATCGTAGCCAGTTAATCTGGAAGCCAGTTGATCAGTGGAGCCCAGACTTGGAGAATAGGAACTGAGATTTAGTTTGCACCCTCCCCAAACACTTTTAGGTCAACAAACAAACGCAGAGACTCAAAAGTCTGAATGCTTGTTTGTTTGTCTGTGCCCTATGAGCAGACCAGTCTGTGACCGGCCTCATCCCCTAAGTCAGGGGTGCCCAAACGTTTTGGACCGAAGATCGACTTTTCGATGAAACAACCTCCCGCGATCGACCGTTTAACGTGCACGCACATAAACACGCACGCCATGATGAGCAACAGCCTAACATGGAGGCATGCGACGCACTTTTGCAGCCTGTTAACAATTGTAGCTCACACATACCGTTTGAAAGAGCTTCCCTCGGCCCTCTAGATTCCTATTGTTTGCCCGTGACCTCGGTGAATTGTACACGAAACAAACGCTGAATGAGAATAACGATAACGATAAAAGATAATAGCGCAACAGCTCTTGCTTCCTAACAGCAGGTCACGCGCCACCGTAGGTTAAAGATTTACCTGCTTTTTTTTTTTTCATACTATTTGTGAAAATGAGACTGATAAGATGATTAGGGTGCAGTGTACATTAACACAAAAAAATATTTTACTAACATGCACAAAGACACAAATGGTTTTGGGTTTTTTTTCTCCTCTACCCCCCTCGGGATCGATTTAGGACCTGTCCGCGATCTACCGGTCGATCACGATCGACGTAATGGGCACCCCTGTCCTAAGTCAACTGGGATAGGCTCCAGGTCACCGGTGAACCAAGTGAATATAATAAACAATTTACTTTCACAACTCATAATGTTTCTTGAAGTCAACCATCTGTACTTCTTGACTTCGGTAATAATCGTCTCTTTGAGGGAGCAACATGTAACAGCAAGAACAAGTAAGCATCAGTTAGCCTTATCGCCCAGTGCACTTTGATCCTCGGCAGGTGATATGGAGGAAGATGTGGCGTGTCTGATAAACAATTTGTTGTTGACTAATCGATTTATTTTGACACCTCTGGCATATCTATTACAAATTGCATTTTATGTTACATATTCAAGCCTGCGGTTTCCTAATGCTGTGGTCAGACCGAACACGAGCTGAGCATTTCTGGTGGCGCGTTTTCTTACATTGTCAGTGCCCTTCGAGCGGTTGCATGCCGGGCAGTGTGGATCACGGCGCTGACAGCCAGTTGGTGTTAAGAATATTTGCTACGTCAAACACACAGCCAGCGGTCACCAGATTGATGAGATTTCTAACTTTTCTTTTTTTGTCCCCTCTTCTTCTCCCCTCAGAGAAACCTCAATGTATTTCTCCCATGAACAAAAGCATGCGAAACATGCGTGGCGACACGATAATTCATGTTTGGTCTGAACCTAGCATGGCATGCATGATATGATGGATAACCTAGAACAGTTGATTTGACATTATCTGAAAAGAATCCTGATATGATAAACGGTACCACATTTCTGAATGAAGCTTCCTCACCTCAGCTCTAAGGAGACTGCTTGTGTATGTTTGTGTGGGAAGTAGTTAGTCATGTGCATCGTGTCAGTGAGAGAATTATGAGAACTAATAGACTTCAAGGGAGTTAAGGACATTGTAACCACATCTTCCGGTCCATACACCAAAGCTTTTTGTTCAGTTTGCTGTCAATGGTATGAAAATCACACCCTCACAGTGTGATGCAGCAACAGATCTCCAAATACCTGCACATTTCTGACTACTGTCAGAAATAGGGGCATCTTATGTTACAGCTTTAAGTTAAATTCTGTCAAATACTAGCTCTCTATACATTGTGGTGTTAAAAAATGGTATTCTGTTTGTCAGTGTTTGCTCCGCCAAATCAACACCTCCTAATCAATCGTTTAATTGTGCACAGGATACATGGTTTAGCAAGCCTAAACATTCCTGTAATTATGTAATTAGATGTGACTCACCTCCTAAATGACAGTCCTAACGACCGGTTTTACAGTGTAGATTAAGATATGGAATGACATGCTAAATTGAGGTTTGTCCATGTCAAGGTCAACCTGTAGAAAAGGACCTGGCAGTGAGCGAGAGAAAACGAGAATGGTATTCGCAGAGGGGACAGAGGGCAAACAACTCTTAAAATAGGTTTCTTTGTAGCGCCCCTGAGCTTCGGGAAGAAGAATATGACAAGAGAGTGTGGTGCAGGGAGCAAGGGAAGGGAGTGGAGGAAGAGAAGGGGGTGGAAAGGCAATGTAATTGGTGTGCGCTTCTGCTCTGGGCAGAGGGCCCAGGCCCTCTGTTTACTGAAGGACCACAGCTGGGACTGAGAGACAGATGGAGGATTGAGCTGCAAAAGGTGACGTGGTTCCTTCGACAGAAACAGACTGCGGATTAGCGATCTTGCAAAACAACAGCGTCAGTTCTAATTTAAAACATCACAACTGTGATCTACACACATGGACAAAATTGTTGGCACCCCACTGGTAATGAAATCATAATCATAGTCGTATTAATACAAGAAAGTCAATCATAATTGTAATGATGGTTTCAAATGTAATGAAAATTCTATGAAAATTCTCAGGTGTGACTTGTATGTATTAAAATTAGAGCTTGGACTGACACCCAAAATCTATTTGCCAACCTCGTATGTGGTTTTCACCAATGTAATGTCTTACATGTAATGTTTACAAGACGTCAAGAATGAAAATGTGATTATTTTGTCACTATTCACAGAGGTGGTGAAGTTGTGAACAAGTTTGTAAATCTTGATGTGGCAGTTAAGACTAAAACAAACAGACAGCATAATGACAGTGGATGACAAAAACTTTTAGCAAGGAGGAGGCTATGTTATGTTTTGGCTCTGCTTTGTTGCATCCAGCACATGTTGTCTGGAATCTGTGCAGGGTACGATGAAATCTGAAGTTATTCAAGAAAGAAAGTGTGCCGCGTGTCGCTGATGGTGTCGTGGTACACTCGCCGGACTTGTGTGAGGGCAGCATGGGATCGGTTCCCGCTCAGTGAGGGGGCGAATTTGGGTGTGTATGGTTGTTCGTCTCGATATGTGCCCTGTGACTGACTGGAGACCAGTTTAGGTGTTGTTCCGCCTTTCACCCGAGGTCATCTGCGATAGGCTCCAGCAATTCCTGCGACCCTCTTCAGGATAAGCGGTGTTGAAAATAGATGGATGAAAATGTGTTGCCCAGTGTTAGAAAGCTGAAATGTACCATCTGGAGAAAGCATTCTTCAAACCTGGGACATCTAAAGCAGTTTGCTCATAAAGAGTGGCCCAAAACACTTGCTGAAAGGTACAGAAGACTCATTGAAAGTTAAAAAAAAAAAAAAAATCATTTGATTGCAGCAACTGTTTCAAAAAGTTGGGCAACTAGTATTAAGTTTAGGGCACAATCAGTTTAATTATAATGATTCTGTACTACAATTTAAAAGTTGGTTTTCGTTGATTATTTTCAATTACATTATTATTATTATTATTATTATTATCATTGTTTAATTAACAGAGTGGTACCAACAATTCTGTCCACATCTGTATGTTCAACACCATGCAACCAGAAATGGCAGAAGATACAGCATTTCGCTTATGTTGTCCAATTCTTCCAAACAATCCCACCACGACAAGGACAGCAGCCATCAATGCAAGCACATTCTCCATTTTATATTTATAACATGTGACATGTCCTTGTCCCAGTGTCAGATTGCATTTTAATCCTCCGCCGGACTTTTCCAAGCCTCGTTTTAGTTCGAGTTTGGCCCTGGGGTTAATATGTAGCTCTTGGCGATGCCGAGGAGTGCAGCTCATCAGCCTGCACAGAGCTCATCTGAGATTCCACCGAAAGTCGGGCCAATTTTTGTTTTCACTCCTGATCAGATGTCCTTGTTGATTCATGTGGAGAACATCATGTCTTGAGTTGAGACAAACACAAATGGGAGTACCGTGTGTATGCATGTGTTTGTGTGAAGGGGCTTCATGAGGGGGTGGGAACGTGTTTGTAACAAAAGACTGAATTGACACAGCACAATCAAAAGTGAATATTGTCACCTGAAAAATTTGCTCATTTGTACCTTCAATTTAATTGACGACATCTGCTCTATATCACATTGTTTGCTGGAGTTGGACTCACAGGTCTAATTCGATTGATTCACTGCCCAGAAAATACGGACAAATGTCACAGTAGTCAAATGACGGAACTGATTATTAGCGTTGTTGACCTTTTGCAATGTTTACTGCAGAGGGTCGTAACACAAATCAAACTGAATTATTATACAGATACATTACGGCGTACTTGGAAGGTTTATGGTCCTCAGAGGATAACAGTAAATCTTGCTGACCTCAGCAGTCGTTTGACTGAATCTTCTGCTGAAAATGTAGCTCCAGCAGTACTTTCTTGGCTATGCAGTGCATTTCCAGAATATTAGGTATCCAAAGTCTTTCAAGAAAAATCATTATTTTTATGTTTTAAGGATGGAGAACCACGAAACTTTGTAACCATCCACCACCATCGTGGAGTTCAGAAGCAGATAGAGCCAATCTTGTGGTCCCATAAAAGCTTAGCAATGTATCGATATAAGGATATTTCTACCCATCAGGGAGGGGTAGGGGACTCCAGTTCCTTGAGAGCTATATCCTGCCTGTTTTAGATCTCTCCCTACTCCAACACGTGTAATTCAATGATCAGGAGCATTTCAGGCTTCTACAGAGCTTGCTGATTAATTTTGTTTACACTTCCACACCTTTGAAGACACCAGACTAATAGAGACAAGGTAGCAGATGAAAAAGCTGAATGCAGCGGTCAGTTCGCCCTCTACTACATTCCGGGGTTGAAGGTACTGACAGAGAAGGTAACAACCCGGAAATCGGAGTACATAGGAAAAAAAAAAAGTTTTAGAAGGACGATTTTGGGTAGGCATAATATACTGTACGTATGTGTTATTCTCGAGAAATTACGGTAAGCGCAGGACTGTAATTGCTTTCGTTAAATCTGGATGGCAATGTTTAGTCAACTCATCGTGTGTACATGTGTCTTTGCTTTCTAGTGTATAAGTCCCCAGAATATGAGTCGCTTGGATTTGAGCTTACAGTGGAGCGGCTGGTTTCCATCGGTTACCCACAGGAGTTGTTCAGCTTTGTCTACGATCCGTCCTTTCCTACCAGGTGGGCCCAACTTGAGATCTCCGTAGGACCTCTATTTGGCTAGAGATAATGTAAAGGGCAGCAGGACTAGTGGTATTAAGAACGGAAATGAACTGTGCTTAGGGATATTTACAGCCTTTAAAAATACATATTTGATCTGTCTTTCACTGCTAGGGGCCTTGTATTCGACACTATGTACGGAAACCTGCTGAAGGTCGACGCCTACGGTAATATTCTGGTCTGCGTCCATGGATTCAACTTCCTCAGAGGGTGAGGCTTCTGAACATTCATCTCTCCTCGACTCTGAGGAAGATTGTTAGTAAGAGTGTCAGGTTTGTGTCCTCATACGGAATGTGTGCCTGCATCAATGCCCTCATGAGCCCATTTGAATGGGTTTCCTCTTTCCCCAGCCCTGAGATCCGTGAGCGCTACCCAAACAAGTTCATCCAAAGAGATGATACAGAACGCTTTTATATTCTCAACACACTCTTTAACCTGCCAGGTAATGTTTGCACAACAATTCAGTAGGCCAATGCCAGAAAACTGTCAGCGAGTGTGATGCATGATGTTTTGCGACTGACAATTGTTCTTTTTTTTTTCTGTTTTTGTTGTTGTTGTTTTTTTGTTTTTGTTTTTTTAGAGACTTACCTCTTTGCATGCCTAGTGGATTTCTTCTCCAACTGTGATAGGTACACGAGGTAAGAAACTGCTTCTTACAATAAATGTCATGTCATACAGCAAGCTGCTGGCCGTTGTATGTGAAGTGACTCAAACCAACCTGGGACAAAAGAAACCCTTGCTGCATGAAGGCTGCACATTGAAGTCGAGTGGTCAATAATTGCATTTGCACTCCCTAATTGTTTAAAAAAACAACACCGTTTCCAATAATGATAACAGGAATATAACATTTTTTTACTAACTTTAGAACAGGGGTGCCCAACCTTTTTTGACTTAAGATCTACTTTTTTCCCCACAATTGACCCATGACCGCACTCTATGCATATACGCACATGCGCACATATGCACGCACACACCATGCCATGATGAGCAGCAGCCTGACGGACCTGAACATGAACGAAACAGAAAAATAATCCAAATACAAGACAAGACAGAGTTTGTAAAAAGGAAATCATTGCCTACCTTAATTGGGGGACCTGCGACAGGGAGGCAGAGACGAACTTTTGCAGCAAGTGCAGAGACATCACTATTTGTAGCTCGTGTGTACCGTTATAAAATAATCCTCCTGGCTGTCCAGATTGCCATTCTTTGACAGTGCCGTCAGTGAATTGCAATTGAAACAAACTTTGAATAAGAATAAACACAAAAAAATAGATATATCTCAACGGCTGTGATCGCTAGCTGCTACTGCAGACTGCTGCCCGCCAACAACTTCCTGTGATGCAGTTATGTGCCACCGTAGGTTAAAGGTGACCTACTTTTTAATTGGATTTTTTTTTTTTTTTTTTTTATAAATTCTTTTTTTTCTGAATGTGAAGCTGATAGGATGCTTCGGGTGCCGTATACACTAACACAAAAATATATGATATTAATAAAATGCACACAGATACCCCTTTATTTTTTTTCTTTCCATTTTCCCCTACACCTCTCGCGGTCGACTTGGGACCAGTCCGCAGACTACTGGTCGACCGCGATCGACTGGTTGAGCACTCCTGCTTTGAAATGAGGAACCAAGTGAGATAGACATTGGATGCTAATATTAGCAGAGAGAATCCAATGTCCTGTACATTACCTAAGAATGTAATCTGGAATGGTTGCATGGTCTTTGTCCTCTGAAACCTGGTTGTTGGTCTTTTAGGGGAAGAATGCTTTCCTGTTTGGCTGGGGACCCCGCCATCAAGGGAAGGCTATCCCATTTAAGAGCAAATGAGCATAAAGACAAATTAAGAAAAAAAACAAAAAAACAAGAGAAATGTTTTGGAAACCCTTCTGTAAAGATTGGTCTTGTGCAACAGCTGGATACATGTGTCTCTGCTCCTCCCTCCCCCTCAGCTGCGAAACAGGATTTAAAGACGGCGACCTCTTCATGTCTTACAAGAGCATGTTCCAGGACGTTCGCGATGCTGTAGACTGGGTTCACTTCAAGGTATAGCATGTATGAAAGCTACAGTGGCAAAAAAGTTGGTGATCCTTACCCCACCAAACCTGATGAGTTAGTTGTACTCAAATGGTTTGAAGAAAACAAATCCAATAAATCATTGAAGTTTGACTCAGTAACTCAAGCAATGCAAATATGACAAAAAACAAACAAACAGGGATTTGACTACAAATAACTCAGATATTCATTCTTGAATAAAGCAAGTCAATTCAGTTTTACTTAATAATAAATAAACAATAACATCTAAGTTACTAGTACAAATAGTAATTATTGTGTCGGATTAATTTTGGGGAATGAGTGATTCTAACGGTTTGACAGATTTAAATTGTTACCAGGAAAAGATGTTGAGTCAGATTTTAAATTGAATGGAATTGCCTACATTTTGGTATAAATTGGTCAGAAAATATAAGATTTCTTCATCAAGTCACAGCAATAGTTAAGATACAGTTTTGTGAAAGTAATCCAACACGAAAATTGTTTCTATGTTTTAACTGAATGCAACATGTGAACACCACAGTGTAGAGTGGAACACGAGGATGAACCGTTGGATTTTTCTTAATGTTCTGTGTTGGAATTTTGGACCATTCCTTTTTACCAAACAGTTTCAGTGAAGCAAAATTCTCGGGACGTATGGTATGTGTTGCTCTCTTGAGGTCATACTACAGGATCCCGTTCGGGTTGAAGTCAGGACTCTGGCCACACTCCGGAAGGCATATTTTCTTCTGTTGAAGTCTTTTTTTTTTCCCCTTCTGTCCTTTAGGTCGTTCTCTAGTTGCATCACCCAACTTCTATTAAGCTTCAGTTGGCAGACAGATGTTCAGAGCCAATATGAAATATGTTCTCATAGTCCACTTGTCACATCTGGTCAATTTGTTTCATAGCTCTGGCAGTGTAGCATGTAAACAGTAAAGATGGGCTGATCTGACTAAAAACTGGCTGTGGAAGGAGGTATTTTGATTGGCCTTTCATGCACGCCCAAGCACTGATAGATCAAAACGGCAATCAAACTTTTTGTGTCTGTGATCAACTTCTTAACAGAAAGTAAATATTCTCACAAAGAAAAAAAAAACATGACCGGACAGATTTTTTTTTTTTTTTTTTAATGTTACACAACAAGCTGCTGTGATGCAAACGTCCCTCGGAGCCCACAATTTCTGGTCACGGTTGCGCAACTTGAAATCAGTCCCTGAATCAATCTGCAGTGATGCTTGTAAGAAAACTGGTACAATTAAGCAGTGTTAAGTTTTCACATCTTTTACATTTCAGGGTACATTGAAGGAAAAAACCGTGGAGAACCTTGAGAAGTATGTCGTGAAAGATGTAAGTCGTTTGTATTCATGAAGGATGCTTCTCGCACAAAAACTTGAATCTATGGGGAGGCTTATTTGTAAAGAGCTTTATTTAGCCTTCAATTTTGTTTTCCGCATTCCCACCAGGGAAAGTTGCCTCTTCTCCTCAGCCGGATGAATGAAGTTGCCAAGGTGTTTTTGGCTACCAACAGCGACTACAAATACACTGATGTGAGTAAGACCATTAAAATTCAGGCCATCAGCCACACTAGCTACTTGTTGGCTGCAGCGCAATAGTATAGTAAACAGTCTATATTTATTTACTTGTTTGTTTATATATTTTTCTTACTGCCAAATGATCATTTTGAATCTTTACATTTTAAAATTTAATGTTGGTTTCGCAGTGAGGCGATAATCACGTCAGTAAGTTAAAACCCCTCTTGCTGGATATTGTTTTGTTCACAGAAAATCATGACTTACCTGTTTGACTTCCCCCACGGTCCTAAGGTGAGTATATGTCACTCTAAAACAAACCTATACAAGATAAACAGTTCAGCTCAGTCTAGTATATTGAAAACCATATCGTTTTTTGTTTTTTTTAATAATCCCTATGTTTGTGTAACTTTCTTCATCTGCGTATGCTTACGTCCGCATCAGCCTGCTACTTCACACCGACCATGGCAGTCTTACTTTGACCTCATCCTGGTGGATGCCAGAAAGCCACTGTTCTTCGGTGAAGGAACCGTGCTACGACAAGTGGATACGGTGAGGAGACAGGCAGCTCACTATAAAAACGTCAAAAGTATACTCTACACTCACCAGCCACTTCATTGGGTACACATGTCAAACTGTGAGACAATTTCTCATCAGCTACTCCAAAATCTACCATTTGGTTCAGTTTTCTGTTTTGTGCTCATGGGGTCGACTCTGAGGCGTTGTCTACACGTAGCCGGATATTTTGCAAACAGGAGATATTTTTCTGCCGTTCGCTCTGTCATCTACACGTCAGTGGTATCCTGTTGTATTTTGTGCCTCATAATGTGCCACACATCTAGAAATATAGAAACAAGTCTGGACTGCTGGCACGTCAGTATTACTCGCACTCTTTCACAATGAAGCCATGCTGTTGTCCGACCGGCATTTTATAATAGGTGGTGGCTTTGACCTGGTCACTATGAGCCAGTAGTGCTTGATAGCAAAAAAGACACAGCCATTCAGTATGCTGAGAAAGCAGTGTTTTGAAGAAAAGCTGCTTACTTTTGAGAGGGAGTGCTCATCTCAATGCAAAACCGGTTGCTTTGATGTGCTTCTTGTGATGTCACTTGGTGTTACTGTTACCAAACTATTGTTGTTAACACTTATTCTCCAACAACTAGAAACTTGATTGGCAGTATATTGCCTGTTAAGCTATTAGTGACTCTCAATACCTCTGTGACAATGTGTGATTTATACGTGCATTTTTGTGAACAGAGCCTTAAGTCTGTTTTTAAGATATTTAATGTATTCTACATTTCAATGCCAATGCAATATTCTTGAGAATGAAGTTGTTTGCTTCTAAAAAGGATGTACTGGAATTGCTATGCTCTAATAGTGGCAAGTGAGTATAGGGTAGCCTCAAAGTTTGTTTACTTTTAAGGTACAGTTTGCCGGTGTGAAGCATTGTGAAATTTTAACTCATGACTTCATGTATTTTACACTTGCCTCAGACAACAGGGCGACTGAAGATTGGCACATACACAGGACCCTTGCAGCATGGTATTGTTTACTCTGGAGGTAAGAAGACATTTCTTGTCGTCTCAGGGTGTTTGCGGTCGCTGAGTGAGGGCTCCCTGTGTGATGTCATAATACTTCACCGCAGGCTCCTCAGACATCGTGTGTGACCTGCTTGGGGCCAAAGGCAAAGACATTGTGTACATTGGGGACCATATCTTTGGAGACATACTCAAGTCCAAGAAACGACAAGGCTGGAGGACTTTTCTGGTCATACCTGAGCTTGCCCAGGAGCTGCATGTGTGGACCGACAAGAGTTGTGAGGCTGCGAGAAAAACAAACATTAGGAACATTGTTGCACACATTTCTCTTAGTTGAAAGGAAATCTACCAGGCCTAACCCAGCGTAACATTGCAATGAGTGGCTTGGATTAGATTTGGCACATGACTCATTTAATGTCACGTTCATGCACACAATCAGTGATGCTGATAATTTTATTTATTTTTTTTCCTCTCAGCTTTGTTTGAGGAACTGCAAGGTCTGGACATTTTCTTGGCAGAACTCTACAAGTAAGAAATTGAACTCTTTCAAACTACGTCCGTTTGTGTGTGGGCATGTGCATTCTGAGGTCCGCGGAGTCAAAAGTGTAGAGTCTAAAGGAGCACCGAGCATGTTATTTATAACAAGGCGTCAGCCTCTTTAGCAAACTGATATGACCCCACCTGCCCTTTGTCACCGACCTGAATCGTGTCATGGTTCTCCTGCAGACATTTGGACAGCAGCAGCAACGAGAGGCCCGATATCAGCACTCTCCAGAGAAGAGTCAAGGTACAGCGTTAATCACCTCGGTTTCCATAATGACACAAGTGGACAGGGCCTGTCCACATGCTGTCACATGTGGAGTATGTTTGTTGTGTGTGTGTGATTTATCTTTGTTCTGATGGCACTCCCCACAGTTTGTTTATCTGTCTGCGGAGGCTCACGATTAATGAATAACCGCATACACACCAGCAGAGATACCGTGCAGGAGATCCTCGGTTTACGACTGAGTTTCGTTCTTAAGGCATTGATGTAACACGATGTTGTACACAGATGTAAAGTTGTTATTACAATTGATATTTTCATACCAATCATTTCTAAGATCGACATGTCAAGAAATCTAATGACAAACAGTTTATCTTACCCGTAAGTCTGTCATTGGCTTGCAAAACAAAAACGATAACTTATCGGTTTGAATGTGACGTAGCTTGTCTTTGTAGTGTATTCAGTTGAAAAAAAAAAATCCAAATGATTGTATTCTGGTTTTATTGACATTTTACACAATGTCCCAATTTCGTGGGAATTGGAATGGGAGTTTGTAGATGATGCATTTTTATGTCTTGCAGTGGACAACCTCTATCTTTGTGACCTATCCTTGCCTTCTCCGAACTTAAAAATGAAACAAAAAGAACAAGCAGGACCATGTATTTTTTTTTTCCAAATTATTCTTCTTATCTTCAGAAAGTCACACATGACATGGACATGTGCTACGGCATGATGGGTAGCCTTTTCCGCAGCGGCTCCAGGCAGACTCTGTTCGCCTCCCAAGTGATGCGCTACGCAGATCTCTACGCAGCTTCCTTCATCAACCTGCTCTACTATCCATTCAGCTACCTCTTCAGAGCCGCACACGTCCTTGTGAGTACAGAGATGCAACAAGACGTTTCGATGAATGAAAACAAACACCTTTGCAGATTAGCTCTTGTGGCAGTTTGGGCTCATTTAACCGTGACCTGAGACTAGTTGGCTTTCCCATCCCTATGTTGCCCCCACCTAGCAGGCAGCTGTCCTCAGCAACTCAAATGTCCTCAACAAAGTCTTGCAAAGTCTCCGGAAGCCAAAAAGGCCGCCGGGTCGGTCACCTGGCCGGCGCAGGGGAAGGCTGAGCAGCCAGAAGCTGGTCCACCAGCCTGGCCTCCCCCACTCTTGATATAATGGGCCAGTCAGTCCCAGTGAAGGTTTCTCCTTTGTAGATGCACTCGATGCACCACGTCTGATAATTTCTCCAGGACGGTGCAGTGTTCTGCCCAAGTGGTTCATCAGCTTGGGAGACATCGCCCTCCTCTTCAGCGAACTGTAGACCCATACCTGTGCACCAGCAACAAAGTCCTCCCTCAAACAACTCTTTTGACAGATTCCGGCCTCACCAAGTGTCTGGCGAGCCACGTCGTGCACTTCCAAAGACAATCTCGCAGCCTGCCGAAGTAGTCCAAACCAGGTTCGACCTCCACCTCTGCCTCTGGTGGAGGTCCACACATCAGATCCACAGGTGTGTAGAGCTCCTGCCCGAACATGAGGGCTGCAGGAGTGCATTTAGTTCGACTCCTGGACAGCTGTCCGATATGCCCAGAGAACCAGGTAGATGGAGGTCCCATTCCTGCTGTTCGCGGCTGGAGCTGGTCCGAATAGCAAGCTGGGTGGGCCTTATGGTTTAATCGCGCTACCAGTCTGTCACTCCTCTGGTGCACCAAACCGACTAAACATGACATTGACCAGATATTCAGCGGTGGCGGCGGCGCTCTGGTCCGGAATGGCACGAACCTCTGGCCACCTAGTGAAGTAGTCCATTGCGACGAGAACATAATGCTTTCCTCATTCCAAGACCGGGAAAGGCCCAAGATGGCCACACTCACCGCTCCAAGGGTGCCCCTACCTGGTATTGGGGCATAGGATCAATCCTTTTTGAGAAGTGAACAACGGTGCACATAGAGCTCCACGTCTTGATGACCGCCAGACTAGTAAAACCGGAAGCGAAGACGGACGGTGAAGGGTCTTGGCTGCACCAAGGTGGCCAGCCCCTCACGAACCGTGGATCAGCTGAAGCACCTGTGGCCTCGGCTAATGAGGGATGAGGCTCTGGAGGATGGCCCAGGTTCCCACCGGGTTCCTCCAGTGCCGATGGAGAGGATTGCCATGAACATGGCTGGAACTTTGGGATTGTAGGGCCTTTATTGCCAAGTCCAACATGGAGACACCTGACATCCGCCATCTTGATGGACATGGCACTGGAGCTGGGCTCAGTCGACGTCCTCCACACTCGGCAGCGCAAATAATGCGGTTGGGCTGTCAGCGGCACGGATAAGTGCACGCTCCCTGTGAGTGGGAGCATCCTGGAGGGACAATAGCATTGGCACCAATTCCTTTTTTTTCTCCTCTAGATGCTGGTAGTTTCACAATCTTGCAGGGTCGTCGCGACAGGGCGTCTGCTTTGGCATGTTGACATTGTGATCCTCTGAGGTCTCCATCCAGCTGTCCCTCAGATTCACAGGTGTTGAGAAACCACCCTGAACCAATGTATTTTTATTTGTGTTTGACACAACATTTCAACTTCATTGGTATTGGGTTTGTATAATTTCCCATGGCACACGTGATGAATGAATGACATCTTCCGTCGCAACTCACTAAAAATCGGTGGAGGAATAACTGCTGGTGCATATTTTTAGCAGAAACTATTCAACCCTCCGTTTTTGTTCATCTGGTTCCCAGATGCCCCACGAGTCGACGGTGGAGCACGCGCACGTGGACATTGACGCTGAGTCGCCGCTGGCCACGCGCAACCGCAACCACTGTAGTGACTGCAAAGAACTGGAGTGCAAACGCAACCAGCTGACCCGCTCCTTCAGCGAGATCAAGCCTCCCAACCTATTCCCTCAAACCCCGCAGGAGATCACCCACTGCCACGATGAGGACGATGACGAGGAGGAGGAGGAAGAGGAAGAAGAGGAAGAGGAGGAATGAAATTTTAGCCATTTTGAGGTTTTCTGTTTTGAGGCAAGGTGGGAAATACTTCACCGTGTGTGTGTGTGTGTGTGTGTGTGTGTGTGTGTGTGTGTGTGTGTGTGTGTGTCAGTCCGTGACATTTTATAGTGTGACAGACCAGCAGACAAACAGGATCACACGACCGTCACACAGCTGCATGCATGACACCTTCTTAAAAAAAGAAGGCTTATTTTTTTTTTCGTTCCAAATCGATTTGATTCAAATTTACCATTGTCGTCACTAGACGGAAGACACTCCTCCACTGAGGTATAACGTAACTTTTTCAGGCCTTAAATACGGATAAGCTGGCTTCATGCATGACACACACGTGTGTCAGCATCCTGTGTGAAGAGGGTCTTCAATCAAATTGATTACAATTGATTTTTTTTTGACCGTTTGTTTATGCAAAATGGGAACAATGTGTTTGTTTGATTTCCATGACATTTTTTGACGTCTTGTTTCTGCCTGCCATAAAATGCATTATGGGTGATACTGACATGAAGAATTGCTAAACGACGTCAGTGTTCAGGTGGCCGTTGACTCGTTATATGGTTACCAAGCAACACTGAGAACACAGTATACTGTACAACAGGCTGATAATCGCTATGACAACAGTGAAGTCGTGCTTCTGGAAATAACTGTCAGGTGGAGACAGCTGAAGAAGCCAAGAGACAGTATTTTTATAGGAAAACAAAACTTGAGTGTTGCATTTATTTTTTGGGGGGGGGTTGGATAGTTTGCTGCAATGGGCCTCCATCTGCAAAGCAAATGCAAAGCAAATGCAAAACATCCTGGGATTTCTAAAGCTGTTTGTGTTTATGCAGAGACCAAACGGTTCAAACTGAAGTCAAAGGCTCTCTTGGAACAGTGCCAATTATTTGCTTTCTTTTTGTTGACTTTGTAAGATTTGTTTCTTGCCTTTTTGTGATCCAGACATGCAAACATACACAGGTACTTATGACAGAACCTTAAAAAAATACAACTTTAGGAAACATAACAAATCAGTATCTTTTTTTTTCTTTATTTTATTTATTATGATAATTTTTACAAAATGAATATTTGTACTTTAGGGTTTAACTGTGTCTTGAACTTGGCACATTTGTTTGCGTAACTTTAACATATGCACATGAGAAGAGACCTCATTCTTTTTTTTCAGTGTAAGCATTTTGGAAATGTATTCACTGCAGTTTACACAGAACAAAACTGTTAACCCAAGCTGAAACTACAAAAAAAAAAAAAATGAAGGAAAATTGTGAATAGCGTTAAAAGCTGTAACTAAATGTTAATTATAATCAACAACTTTTTGGGTCATTTTTATTTTTCTAAGCTCGTGTTTGAAAGGGTTTCTGTTTATAGAAGTATAAGTGGTTTCTTACCATTGTTTCTTAATTTTTGTAACACACCACACAGGCTTTGAGCCTATTGACAGTTTTAGTGGACTGAAGTCAATGCATGAACGGAGATTTTGTTTTTTTTCTCCTGCCATGATGCCCTGAATGCATCCTTGTTAGTAGGGTGTGTTGTCACTGTCATCTCTCGTTTTCCAAACGACGGTTATCTTTCATTTTTATGCATACCCCTTGTATGTACTCATGCTTCTGCAATTTGTACACTGAGGGAAATGACCTACAAATGTATAATAAAGATAGTTTTTCATAGTTTTGTGTTCTTTTCTTTAGCCCCAAGTTCATGTACACTCACTGGCCACTCAATTTGGTACGTCCATGCAGTCTGACATTCAGAACAAGATCCAAAATCGAATCCAATATGATTCTTTATATAATTATTGTTGCCGTTATTTGAAAAGTCATTGCATTGTCAACCCATACTTTTTTTGGGGGGGGGGGGGTGCCCAACAGGCTAATGCCTCTGGATCTGGAGCCAATCCCAGCTGATTTTGAATGAGAGGCAGGTTACATGCTGGATTGGTCGCCAGTCACTCTCTTTCACAATTGTGGACAATTTAGACGACCGTAGTCTTCAGCTAACCTAGCATGCAAGTTTTTGGAATGTGGACGGAAGCATGGGCAGGCGGGGTGGAATACATAACCAGATGGGTAGCCCGTGGGCCTGTTCTTAAAATAACTTTCTAGTGACGGCACATTGGGATTTTCTGAGGAGTGTTGTAATCATCATTTAAAAATGTAAACACATTAATTATTACTAACATTCTTCAAGGTAATTCCAGCAAATTTGTTATTTCAGAAATGTGTATTCAACTGGTATCCCTTTGCCTCAATCAGTCCCCACGAAGTCGACCGCTCTCAATTTCAAAAAGGTTGAGAACACCATTTATACTTTATTCTGTCCGCATTGCCTGCCTCCCAAAGCCACAAAATAAAAAACATTCTTCATTCCACATTTTTAAGAAATAGTTTTGCTTTCCAGTTATACACTATTTTTACTTGAATAGCAGCATTTAAGATGCAAAAACAAGAAGCAATAAATTAATTACCATTTCAGCAAACTTATATGCCCCTAGGACAGGAACATTTTGGTCAGCAAGAGCTTGTACGTAAAACAATGTAACTAGATGAAAAAACCCAACAACTAATGTGTTAAAACTCGTGAATTTGAAAAAGAACGATACACCTATGATACCAGTATTTCTTATTTTTCTCTTTTTATGAAGCAAATGCTATTGCTAACAGTCTCTTACTGATTGTGGAAGTACATTGGCAATATTATGCAATTTATTTCTCAGAGGCAATCCATTCTGCGAACTTTTCAAGCAGATTACATTATCGAATGTTTTTATCCTGAAGCCGGCTCTCACTGTTGCCATTAATCACTCTTTTTCAACTGCCTCAAGAGCCTCCAGGATGAAAAAAACTATTATGACACACACAAATAATGCCGCCAAGCATTTGACTGGGAAGAAAGTTTTGCGTTCGACAGTCAAACTTATTTTAGAGTTCTCATTTTCCGCATGTCAACATCTGAAAATGTATGCGTGCACGCGCGTGCCTGTACAGTAGTCGTTTGTGTGGTTACGCAACAGGGACTCTTGAAGCCCAGCCAATGAGAAACAGGAATTTTTTTTTAAATAGGAGAAATAGCGCCTCCCTGCGGTATTAAACAGTAAATGCACGTGAAAAAAACTAAATTCTTCTCATTCTGTTGTTGAGCAGTTAAAATCAGTGATAGGAAGTGACAAAATAAAAAATACAAATACTTAATTATTGAGCTTAAAGAGACTTCTCAGGTGTCTGTTCTTTACCTGAGTATTTATTTTGAAGATTACTTTTTTTACTCCGCCCTCAAAGGTCCTGGGAGAAGGACCAGACAAGGTAAGACTCAAACCCCCTCTATGAAGTACACCAGCTTTAGCAAACACTTTTCCTCGACGAGTGTCCCCCCCTCCCCCCCAATTGTTGAGTGGATTTAGGGGTTTCAGAGTACAGGGGGCTGAATAGAGATGCACAGCACATATGATTAGTCATATTTATATTTACTTAAACGGTTTAAGCAAAGGGTTTAAGTTAAACCCTTGAAAACATTTGTATTCCACTTCACAATGATGTGCTACTTTGCGTTGGGCGGTACAAAATTTCTAGAGGTGAAATTGTGAGTTTTTTTTTTTCAAGATGTAAGACAATATTTGCCTGACTTGGACGAAGAAAAAATAAAAACTGAATAACTGTGGGAGAAGTCGATGTAAAGTTGAAGCATAAAAGTGAAACCATCAACGTAAAACTTTTAATGGCAGCCACGGCAGATGCGAAATAACAGTTTTAATGTAACTAAAGAGTTATTCATCATGGATTATGTTTGCATTGTGATAGCCGCCACAACATTTTTCTCACATTCACTGCTGTCAAAAAAAAAAGCCTTTGTTGAACTCAGATCAGGCTTGGTTCTGGCATGTAAAAAGGAGACAAACAACAGGAAACAAATCTACGGAGCGGATAAGAAATGTCGTGTGTCGTCTGTGAACATATTTTGCATTGAGGTTTCTTCTTGGGATGTTGATGACACTCAACCTATTAGACAAGGTCATTAATACTGTGCAATAGTCAAGTTTGATTAAATGTAAAATTGGCAAAAAACAAAAACACTCTGTTACAAGGCGTAACTCCCATGCACATTGGCGCTGGTGATGGCGCTTTCGTTATCACAATGCATTAGAGCTCACACTCGGAGGTCGAGCTGGCTTGTCTGAGATCACGATCATGAGAGGCCTCCAATTAGACATGAAGGGGAAATTTGCATGTGGATGTTGGGTTTAGCATCTTTCAAACGCAAACATACAAATACAGAGCACACAAACAAATATATCTGTCCATTTAACAATAGTCATTTTTTTTGTATTATTATTAATCATCTCTTAAATAAACCTCTCTTCATTGCACTTTGTTAAAAATAATTAAGGTTATGATTTGTTTTCTTAAAGGCAATAGTGTGATTTTTTTAAGGTGAAAAAGCCCAAATTTGAGTACACAATAGTAAAAATAAGACAATCTGTAAATATACATACTGTATCTGTAAAAGACCTTCGCCCCCCCCCCCCACCCCCATATACACCAATGGATGTTTAGCTCCATATATGTAGCATGTCCTCTCTGGTATGATTTTGTGCATGCTTCGTTGCCACGTTAAGTTCACACCATGTCTCCAAGCATACACATATATCTCTTTATATATACACACAATATTATAAAATAAATAAATACAGGAAAACATTCTTGGTTTGTGATGTAATGGTTTCTCTCAAAGCGGTTTTTGGTGCAGTCTGAGTCGAACCATTGCTCTCTGGAGTCCATGCTGATGGGATCAAATGTCTATTGAGTTTCCCTGAAAGATGCAAAAGGTGAGATTTGTTTGGGAGTGTGTGTCCAGTGTTTAAAAAAAAAAAAAAGCGGCACAGGGGACCAAGGTCTTTGGCCTGAGTGGAAAGTACAGTGTGTTTGAGTGTGTGTGTGTGTGTGTGTGTGTGTGTGTGTGCGCACGTGTGTGTGTGTGCAGTCTGTTGTCTTCTCGTCCAAGTTACCGCGATGAAAGTGTCAAATCGTCCCAAAAGGAATCTCAGTCACAGCACCGTCTTTAGAACGTGTAGTTGAACAGGGCTGCCAACAACTGTGGGAGGGTGTTCAACGCCCACCGCCCCCCTCACCCCCCCCACCTCTCCTTTTGGGAGGGGCCTTCCCAACCGACTGAGTGGG